AGCCCAGAAGAACTTGGACGAGGAGTTCCGCCGACGTACCCATAGGCTGTCCATTGGGGACAGGTATGCTTCGTGAAGATGATGATTGCGGTACGATGTGGGCCAGTCCCCATCTGTTACTTGCGTCACATCGACACTGTTTCGGTGGAACGACTTATGTCATGATTTATATTCATGTGTCCAAGATGATTGGGTGTGTACATGGTTACATATTCCGACGACTATGACGCTCTGGATATTCATGGATGGAACTATTACCTTATAGATGATATCTTTTCATTATTTATACATTGTCCATGGTATCTGGAATGGCTATGATTTGCATTGATTACTCACCGATGTTTCTTTGCCGGGGATATGCAGACCGATCACAAGCGGGCGCGCATGGTGGACATTTGTGGCCAACCCATTTATGGATGACAGCTGCGCGATGCGCAAATGCGGCAGCTGGAATGTTCCTGGCGGTCAAATGAAGTGCCACGTGTGTATTTATACACCTGCATATGGGATGTGCGCTTCGATTGGGGATGAATGTTTCACTTTTCATACATCGAACCCGGCATGTTTCACAACGAATGAACGGTGTAGTGATAGCAAGTAAAAGAATGCACGACACGATTTCGTAGTTGAAGCCGTGGCCAGTGGAACGTTTTGTGGTGTTTGGACCGCATGATGAACAATGCGACCCAAATGGGGGATGTTAAAACCCTCTAGGCCCCGTGCCGAAATTGGGTAGCTGTTCTGAGGTCCTTGTTGGTGTTGCTTCCCAAGTTCCATTGATCGCCATTTGGCTCAAGACACATTTGAGGTTCAAGATCTGATGTGTGACTGCAGACCTCCGTGATCGGCATCAAGAGCAAAACAACTGCTTGCGCTGCATTGTCAGGACTACTGGTGTAACTATCATTCCTTCTTCCTTACAACGTTTACACGGGTTCGGCTATAACGGCATCGTCCGTATACACCTTTCTACGTGGTTGGTATTGAAGCTTGAGGGTTCGGTGCACAGCGTCCCACGGGACGTCACCTTGCCGTCTCTTGACACTTTGCAAGTCCTTACGGAGACATCTCCCACCGCGACGTCTGTTCCGTGGATGGCGTAGGAGCCTATGACCACGTGAGTAGGCAGGCAATGCTTGAGGCACTCCGTGACGTGCCGGATGCGTGCCGGTTGAACAACAGCCTTGAATTACCCACAGCGCCGCAGACTGGCTTCGGCAGGTCGTCCGACAGCACTTTGCCCACTCTGACAGTTGGTTCAATGACGCGGCAGCTGCCCAAAACTCTGCCCAACAGCAACTTGAAGCAGTCCATGCCACGGTGGGGCAGCAGCAATCCACCATCGCGCAAATGCAGGGCCAGATCGAACAACTTAACACCAGCATCCATGCCGAAGTGTCGGACGGCTTCAAAGCCATCGAGGGCCTTTGCCAAGAAATCGCTCACAGCATCGCCAATCTCGGGGATTCGGACAATCCCTCTTTCGGCTCGTCCTTTGGATTCACACCTTTTCCCGGTTTGGTTTTGGTCTGCACACCGCGGAACTTCCATTGCTTGCCCAAGCACAGCAAGAGTCAATCAAGCCGGACATGGCCAGACTTGCCTCATGTGGTTTTGAGGTCAGTTCTGACCCTTTTTTGAAAGCCTGATTCTCCGGACAACATTTTGCTCCCTTTAGCTCACCCAGGCCGAAACGAGGCCAGCCACCCCGGCCCGTCATTCATACTAGGCACCACCAATCCCAGTTGCGTCATCGGCAACAGCCGACATGGTTCTAGACTTGCCCTCAGAAGGACTCTGGAACATTGCGGAAACTCATCTTGCGTTCCTTGAATGCATACTTTCCGCAAGCAACTACACACCAACGCACGACGGCATCACCGAAGGATCAACACCACATTTGGAGCACCGGTATACCTCTCAGGCACCGCTCCCTCGGCGAAGCAACTCCACATACCGTGGCCTACAAGCGCATGGCAGACGCCTTCCAGCCGGATGCTGCGGCCGAAGAAAACGAGTGGCTGTCAACAGCGCGCACCTCCTGCAACGCGTCCCAGCCGTGAAGGCAAAAATGCTTCGCTGGTTCAAACAACGTAGGAGACTTCGATATGACGCGACGTTCTTGGGGTGCAGTTGGACAACTTCCGAGCGCAGGAGGGCCCGTTGCCTCGCTCCGGTTGATTGTGGGCTTCTCTGAGAACCCAAGCGCGTTCAAAGGCGCTTTGGGTTCGGCCCCACGGAACAAAGACGTCTCCTGTTCCAGACTTCGGGCTGTAGTCGTCTGATCTCCAACTCCTTTCGGGTTATATCCCTTGGTGAACTATTAAGAGCTCAGCCAGCACCGCGGCGCAGGACTGGTGAGAAGAGCTGCGCGCTGGCGATTGGTCGTGGCTCTGGGCATGGCTCAGAGATGCGCCCAAAAGAGGTAGTTGCTTCGTCGTTCCAAAAGCACGCCTGGCATACGTCCATCGAGCTGCGAGTGCTGAAATGAAAGAGGGGGCGGTTCATGGCACTGAGACGTGGGTTGGGCTTCTTGGAAAGTCCCCCCCCCCTCATCAAAGCTGGTTGGGCATGGGGATCAGCTCCGTTGTTTCGCGTTGCTTCTGGGGTCATGTTCTTGAGGGTTTGACCCCTTTCTTTTTTCGATGCCACCCTGTCGCCAGGTCGAGCCTAGTGGCGAGAGCTCAGCACGCGCACACATGTTGACCACTTGGCATAATAACCCCCAAGAAGAGCAGCGGTTGCTGCGGGAGATTCCTGAGCTGCCAGATCTGCAACGCGCGTTTCCCCCCGAGCTAACCATCTTCTCCGCTTGCTGCCACCATCCCTGGTAGCGCCATATGCCGAAGAACTCGAGAAGGCGGTGTGGGATTCCTTCGCCACGTGCATCCGAGCGGCGGCCGAGCCTGCCAGCTTGGCGCGCCATTTGGCGTTCTTGCCGGCCAGCATGGGAGGCCTTGCGCTTCAAGCGGCGCAACGCGTCGCACCGGCAGCTTAGTGGCCGCCTGGGCGGATGCTTTACCTCAGGCAGCCGGTTTGGGCAGACCGGATTACTCATTTCCTTGTGCATGCCGACCCCGGCGGCCCTACTTATGCCGTTGCGCGCAAGCCTTGCAAACTTTGCGAGCCTGGCCCAAGCACGCCTGCTGGGTCCTTTCTCATAGCCTTTCGTGGCTAACCCAGCCCACGGGCGGTAACGCAGTCTCGCCGAGGTCGGGCGCCTGACCCGGCCTTGTCTGACACTCCTGAGCACATCCCGGGAAAGCAGAGAGCGTAGCTGCCGCTGCTTTTCTCGAGAGGGGTCGTTATGACAAATAGCGGCCAGCGTCCTATTCGAAAGGTTGGGTCCACCCGCCCTCCAAGTTGCAAAGCTCCTAAGTCCTAACGCCATCTGAAACAGTTTGTGAGTCATTTGTGGACACGCGGCGTTTGAACAGGCCAGTCCAGACTCCTCCTGTGACCATGATTGTTGGAAAAAAGGCGATGAAATTTTCAGGGAAATCGTTTGTGCTTTTCAGGCGTAGGGAACTTGGCATTGATTGGCACGCCCTGCAACTGAATGAGCCTGTGCCTGTCCAGCCCAAGCCCTCCGGCGTTGCTTCTGTTGGTGCTGCGGCTATCGTTGCTGTTCCTCCTGCGGCGCCTGGTCTTGGCGTTTTTGTCGCTGCCCTGTTGCGCGTGCCGTGTTCCCGGACCGGGTTGTGCCCTCCACTGCATGCTGTAGGTCCTCACACTTGGACTACCGCCCGGCCCCCCCTTGCAAAGGGCCAAGTGCCCGAGGTCAGCTGTTGGTTTTTCGTGCCACTCCAAGCACAGAGTGGGCAGGCCATTCCGTCCTCGCCGTCGGTTGGCAGGCGGCTGTGTCTCAGCTCCATTGTTCTCCCCCCGGTCTTGTCTGTCCTTGAAACACTGTAGGATGTTGCTGCCGCGTCCCTTGCCATGGCTGCGCGCTGCGGGAGTTGCTTTGCCACCCCACACGCTTGTGCCATTTTCGATGGGTTCTGGAGCGATGCCTGACACCACACAGCTACGTCCCTGCCTCCGCACAGGAGGCGTTGTTGCAGGTCTTCCTCAGGGAGCGTGGTGCTTCTGACTTGTCTGTGTTGGCTGATCGCTTGCGCTCGGGGGGCGCCCAGCCCGAACCGCCCATCGTCGTGCGACCGCCCGCTGTCAGTTCCGGACCAGCCGCTCCCGGCACCACAGCCTGTTGGACCGCCTCCTGATGGTTTTCCCGAGGAGGACGTTGACCCCGCAACCCCCGTCCCTTGGCCAGCCGCCGACGGACGGCATCGCACCCGCGCCCAGCTGGGCGGCTCGCGCCTCGAGGCCCATTCGGACACGGCCCCGCCGACAGGTTTGTCGCACATGCCAGACTTGGACAGCCCCCCCGTCCGTGCTGCCCTTGCCCGTTTCGACCAATTGGACTTGCAGGAACTCCTTCAGCAGCGTTGCCTCTTTTTCCGGAGCCCGCCCAAGTTCCTCCGGGGACCTTTCCGTGCAGCTCTTTCGATCGCCCTTTCGGCGATTGATGCTGCGCGGCCTGCGGATGCCCCCGCTCAAGTGAGGGCCTGGACGCTGTGGCTCCTCCTTCCCCGTTTGTTACTCCACCACCCCCCCGGCGCCCACCGGCTCACGAAACCAGAGTGGCGCTCGCGGCTTTTGGACTTCTGAGGTTGCTGCCAACCTTGAACCATCTTGAACCGCCGTGCCGAGGAGGCTGCCCTGCTTTGTTTCTCCGGCCCACACTGTTGAGGGCACATAGGTGGCCTGGCCGGTTCCCGGAGTCTCCGTGACTTTGGGCACTGGCTGATGGTTGCTGGTTGCGATTCATTTCCTTGTTCTCACTGCGCATGCGACTTGCGAGATGCAAAATCATCCCCGAACTGCCCTACAGCATGTATGAATGATACATTATTGGTGTAAAGTCTGTAAAGTGTCATGCTCCACGAACTGAGTGGCTTTAGCAGGGCCATGCAACCTTGTGTGCAACCTTCGCGGGCAGGCGTTGGCTCAATTTTGCTGAGGCTGTGGCCCGTGGTGCATGCCGCATCCTGGCCTTAAGCCACAAGCAAGATGTTCGGCACAAAGGTTGCTGATGGCTAAGACCATGTCTATTCGAGTTGAACTCGACGAATGTGTGGAAGTTTGGCGGGCAGGGGAGTGGGCTGTGCTCCCAACCACGGAGTGGTCGGAGATTATCCGACGAAAGAAAGACACCGAAACAAAGTTTGATATCATTTCCCTTGGCGTCGACTACCACGTCGACCTGGAGACAATGACTCGAACTGAGTTGAAGAGTGGGAGAAGTAGGGCCATACGGTTTGCCCAAATAGAAAGGCCAGAGCACTCGACAGCCAAAGGTTTCGAGGCTTTTCGAGAGGTTTTTCACGAGATAGCAGTGGAAGGGGAAGGGCATGAAGAGCTGGTCACTGAAGATTGTTTATTGCAAAGTTGGCCTGGCGTGGTGGACGATGAGGATCTGCTTGTAGCAACAGTGTCACAGGCGCCGCTTGAGAGCGCTGTTCTTTTTTGATGGTATTGGTGTTAGGACTTGTGCGTGTTCTTTCAGGGCTTTATTTGTTGGTTATTTATTTTGTTGAGGCATCAAAAGGAACCCACCCGTTTTTGCGGGATCCACCATGATGCGCGCCTGGCAGATGTACCGATGCATGCTGCTGCGCGAGAAGCAGGGCGTCAACCTCCAAGAATGGGTCCACTATTGGGCGCTGCATCGCGGCGATCCACCGAAATCGGTGTTTCAGGAAGTCAACGAGCGGCTTCGGCAGCTTGTCCTTCACGATGCACAGGCGCTTTGGGGTGTGCGTTGTTTGACATCCAAAAAGCATGTGGTTTGGGCCCGGGGGGGGTTGTCTCAAAAGTAAGGTGCCTGGTTGGGACCCTGGTGCCGATCTTTGCCCCACCAAAGGAGTATCAGTTGTCCTTCAACGCCCATACACGTTCCAGAGTCAAACAGTGATGCAACCTTTCAGTCAGCTTGAGCTGACTGGAGGTCCATTTTCCTCTCAAAGGACCTCCAGTCAGAATTCATGTTGGGAAGGTACGTAGATGATGTGTCTGGTAGGTCCTGCAGCGCTTGCAGCTGCAATTTGAAAGCGCCGCGCGGACACTGGACATCGGCCTCTCTCGGCTGGCTCTGTCATTGCAGGAGCTGCTGGAGGTGCCACAGCGAGATTATAGGGCACCGGTGGGTAAAACAGTAGAATGACAGATGATACAGGCAGTTCTTTACCAGCAGATTCCCAAATTCAGCTGGGTAGGTAGTCTAACATAGGCAAGTATGTCGCGGGGTTGCTGTCTCAGGTATGCCGATCCATGGTTGAAGCGCCCGAGCGGCGCATCGAGCAGACGCTGGCTGGAAATGTTCTACAAGCACACCAGAATGGCCACCTTTCCGGAACATGAGCACGCTTTGGTACACATTTGTTTGCATAGAACTGGGCTCGTGGTTGCCAGTTGGCATCGAGTTGGATGGCCATGCCTGTTTCGTTGTGCCACAAGTTGAGGCAAGCTTGCAGTTGAAGAGGATGAGCACCTGCATTACCACGATTTTCTCAATGTCATGCTCGGCCGACACCGACAAAGAGTGTATATGTGGCACCTTGGCCATCTTGCTTCCATGCATTTGTGGCAGTCCAAGGGTGCGTTGGTAGGATGTGCTGAAGAGTCAGAAGCCGAGGATGTATGACATTACGGCCGGCAAGGCGAATGCTTGGTCATGGCTTCTAGGTACTCACTTCACAGCATTTTGGCACACTGGCGTCGTAGTGGAGTTTGCAGATGGTCCTGGTGAGTTTTGGTTCGGCGGCAAGATATTTGTTTCCCCTCCTGGCACCACTCCGTTTGGCGAACCGCTGGAGAAGAGGTTTATGGGAGACTTGGCATGCTGCATTTCGTCCAATGGTCTAGGGGTAACTTCCCCCTTCTTTCCAGAAAACCACCAAACACCCCGGGGAAATGGCTGGTTTTTGAAAAGAACGATGGCTGAAAAGACAAGGAATCAACCCCTAGAAATGGAGAGGTTTTGAATATCAGCCAAGGATACACCTACAAGAGTCGAGACGAAGTGGTGTACTTCATTGGTGCAAACTTGGCCTTCAAGTTCCACAGGGGGAGCTACGATTCGCTGACTCACAACTGCAATCATTTCAGCTACTCATCTGATTCATGGAACGGACTTGCATTCAGGGTTCTGAGAAGTTGCGACTTCAGGCGACAAATTGCTCATGCACCTGACGAATGAACACGTACCAGGTGGGTATGGCGCATGCAAAAAGGTGGTTTGCTGCACTCAATGTTGCAATTGCCTCAAACAAATCCGCGCTTGTCAACCAGACGAGATCCTGCGGCAGCCGGAAAAGATTGCCAACTTGGCAGCTGTGCAGCTGGTGCGGCCACTGCTAAACAGGCACGCATGCTTCTCTTAGTCCGCCCCCCCGCCCCTCCCCCCCCGCAAAATGGATGGGATGGAGTGCCCCACTGCAAGGTGGCTGGGCACCTTTCAAGCAGGAAGCGAGCCAGCCCCTGCCGAAGCACCCGCAGTTGCTCGGCACATCCGATTGCTGGCCTAGTCGGTCAGATGATGCAACACTGTCAGAGCTGGAGATTGCCAACATGCAGGTGTAAGCGACAATCAAAGCAGGTAAGTCCAGGTTCACAAAGTAGGCAATCCAACGTTTGTTCTTTACAGGAATTGGTAAGCCCGGTTTAACACCGGGTTTCGATCATCACTGGGGTGTGTGCAGTTGAGGACTTGCTGGCTGGGCTGGGGCCAAGTGCCGTGGTACGCTTCGCTCGGCGTGAGGGTGGCTTGCAGCAGATTGGCAGCTCGGCATTCCCAGTAGACGAAATCCTGCCCCACTTTGGATAGATGAACCCCCATAGAAATAATGGGGAAAACCACCCACCTGCTGCAGGATTTCGTCCATCCGAATAAAGTAGTACGAGTGCATGGCTTACTTGTAAGTTTGGATGAACGGCATGCAACACAGATACGAATCTGCATTTTGTGTTGAAATTCTGCCCATGCAAAGTTGCACAGCCCAACTCTCGGCAAAGACGGCTGCCTGCACCCAGGAAGGGTGGATTCGGTTTGCGGCGACTACTGTGCCCACGTCTCAGGTGTTTGTGTGTGTGTGTGTCTTTGTGTCTTTGTGTCGCTGTGTCGCTGTGTCGCTGTGTCTCTGTGTCTCTGTGTCTCTGTGTCTCCGTGTCTGCGTGTCTGTATGTCTGTGTGTCTGTGTGTCTCTGTGTCTGTATGTTTGTGTGTCTGTGTGTGTGCGCGCCCGTGCGCGCCTGCGGGCGCGGGTGTGTGTGAGAGAGGGGGGAGACAGAGTGTGGTGAGTGTGCGTGAGTGAGAGTGTGTAAGTGTGTGCCTTCTGGGTTGCGAGACACGTACGGTGAAGCATGTTCTGCTACATCCCTAACCTGCCCTCTGATCTCTGAAGCTCTTAGGCTGGAACACTAACATTCCAGCCTTGAACGTGACAAAAGGGTCGCAGTTTGCGAGTGACCCAGGAAAGTCCTCACCTTTGAACCCTTGACAAGGCACAATGCAACCTTTCAATCTTGGACCAGGGCGAACGTGACACTCATCGTTTTCCTTTCGGCGGCAAGTCCTGGGTGCTCGAAAAACCGAACTTCCGTTTTTGGATGCCATGAGATACTTAGCGTGGACCGGGGGTGGACCTTTTGCGACATGTTGCGGAGGTTTTCGGTGTAACCCCTCCGTTCTAAAGCAAAACCAAGACACAAGCAGGGGGAGTCCATTCTTTCACTTAGGTGTGGCTCAAATATCCCTGGCAAATGGAAAGGACGAAAACCTGCGGTCCAAAAAGTCTCGGGTGGTTTAAGTTAAGCCATCTCCATTTGAGTATGGGTCAAAATGAAACCACCAGGACCGCATGTTTTAGTCTTTGGTTCCATTTTCCAGGGTTCCATTTTGGGGTTCGCCTATTCTTGACCAGCCATTTGAGACACTGCATCCAGGTTGTGAAGAGCCTCGACTTTTGGCGGCGCTGTCTAGTGGAGAGGCACTTGCACACCTCGCGCCTCACGCGGGTCCTGGCACCCGGAAGGCGGGTTTTTGGGCACACGCGGCGGTTCAAAAGCCCGGCCTTGGGCGGCTTCTCTCGACACAAGCGGCTTGAAGCAATGGGTATGGAATTTGTCTGATTCGGGCTAAAACGAGCCATGGAGGCGCACTTGTGGATGCATCTCTGATTTCAGGTTTGGGATCATTTGGGGATGTCACTATCATGGAAACGATGTGCGCCTTCAGTTTCTGGGGGATAAGCGCTGGCGATGTCTTTTGCAAAACCCTTATCCGGAAAAATGGTTGCCTTTGGTTTCCAATTGGCACGTTGCTTTCCTTTGCACACCCCAAGGTGGGTAGCCCTTAGAGATGTGCACTTCGCAGGGGCCTCTGCAATCACCACATCAACCCGAAGGAAGAAGGCGGAAGCTTGCCAGCAGAGACGCGGTCAGGGAAGGCAGTGCCTTCGGGTTGTGCTGGAGTCATATTTGTTTGCCATGCTTCGCGCCAAGGTGCTGCTGTGATCGAAGGCCGGACGGGCTTGGAACATATTTCACTATCTTCGCATGCCGCGCATAAGTCACAGGTTCTCAATGCTGCATGTGCCACAACAGGGGGACCGGAAAGGGTACACTCCTGAGGAAGAGCGGGCTGCTGGCTACCCAGCCTGCTGACGGCCTTTGAACCAGCTGCGAAGCAGTGACTGTGCTGCATCTCCTTTCTTAAAAGGAGCTGAAAGGTGCAGTTTAAACACATTCTGGGAATTATGGGGGATCTCCTTCCATTTGCCAGGGCTGATACGTCACTCTGCAAGGTGAGCATTGCTCGATGCCTGCCTCAGGCTAAGTTCTCCTCCTGCGTCTGCCCGCGGGGAGGGGCCTGTCATCAGCTATCCCGTGTTCTGAGTTCAAAGACTGAAAGGTCCTAAAAGTCTGGGCTGAACGGATGGAAAGGCTGGGCGGGGCAACCCTGCCCCCACAAAGGGACCCTTCTCCAATCCTTGAAGTACGGAACAATTTCCCTTGGTTAGGTTTCCCAAAGGTCAACGTGATTTCGGATTAGCCAAGCCTCCATTTTGAATAGCCAAACAGTGCTTTTCACGCCTCCTGGTAGTTGTGGAGCTCCGACGATCGGTGATCTGATGTGTTTTTTCCCCAAGCCCTGTGCGGTTCACCACGTTTCCTCGAACAGCCTTGGAGCTGCACAAGTCATGCCCCTTGGCCAGGCTGCGATAGGCATCACTTGACAAACTGGGCGCTAGAGAGCACTTGTAGCCTTGAATTTCCTTGGGACACCGAAAGGGGTGGACATTTGTCAGATATTTAGCTCCCGGCAAGTCTTGCACAGTCATGTGAAGCTTATTTGCAGCTTATTTGTTCACAAGCATCTTGTGGCGAAGTGAGAGGCTGCAGATGTCCCTCAGCCGTTGCCGCTTCATTCCTGATGAGCGTGATGCGAATCGTCTGGCATGCTGCCGCAGCGCAAAAGTCCGCAGACTGAAGCAAGGAGCGTCATCCCTGTCACTCATCAAGACCATGTTGGTTGGGGCCAGGAAGTTTCACGGCTTCTTGTGCCGTTGCAAGCATTCGAGCAGTGCAAAGGCTTTTGGGATCCCCATTTTGCCAACCGGCCATTGATTCGCATAGCACGTGTGGAGCCTCTTTGTGTGGTGGCCAGCTATGTTCGCCCGGGTCTTTGATGTCTCACCATGTCTCACCAAGCTCTTGGGAGTTCCCAAGATGTGTAGTGTTAGGGACAACCGAAGCAGAGAGCATGAGATGGGATAGAACAGGATCCGGCTGTACATTTTGACGTCGCTTTTGGGGAAGAACCCTCTGAATGAAATATCTAAATAGCCTTTCCCTTTGCCCCCATGAGTGATTTGGATTACCCAAAAGGCTCCTTTTTCTTGGCGTGTGGTGTTTTTGAGGAAACCCTGTGTTGGGCTGGTTTGAGGGGAAACCAAAAGGAAAACCACTGTTTGTTGGGCCAACCCCTTTTTAGCGAGACATACCCACATAAGTCATGGCCATACGTTCGCCTTTGCCATGCGCTGCTCATACCGCCTGGCCAGCCTTTTCAGGCGGGCAGGCTGCAGGCTGCAGGGCCGGGCAGGCGAACATTGTGTGTAAACAAACAAGCCGTGGGCAGTAGGGACACCCAAAGGAGGTCGTGAAACCACACTGTGGATGGGCAACATCCTGCACCACCAAAGAAACCCTGGAAGGATGATTGCCCTGCAAATTTACTGTAAATGCCAAC